CAGGGATAATCGTTAATAAATGTAAAGAGTTAAATCTAAATTTAAATATTATGAGATGGTGTAAATCTGGCTTTGAAAATAAATTAAGTTGTGTTGCTATAAATATGTCAGTCTGATAATGGTCTGATATTTTCACGTAAAGTGTAGGTGAATAAAATTATTGTATTAATTTGGTTTAAGTTAGTTTAAAGATTTAAGTTATTTAACTAGTTGACTGCCGTGCTGGTCCCATGGGACCAGCAACGCATGGGTGTTATACGCCACGCTGGTCCGATGGGACCAGCACATGTAAGTATTTGTAGATCTAAAGCTGCTGGCAAAAGTCAGGTTCTAATTATATTGTATAGGGGACCAGCATGGCTTCAAAGAATATTGTGGCGGTGATGGTTCTGGAATTTTTTATTTTGGTCCCTTGGTAAAAAAAACAAGTACGGAAATAAACTTTTATTAATTGAAACACACAAATAAACGAAAAGCGTAAATATTAAACAATATTAGGTAATAAAAATAACTAGGTTGTTAGATGTGTTTCATTGAAACATGGTAAACATAAAAATGGTTTTTTTTCGCAATCTTCACAGTAAGTATCGACCTTTAGAGTTCTATTTGTAGCATATTTTCTACCGTGGGTATCATTATTTTTTTTGTAGCAATTCTTACAACAACGCCTCACCTTGTGCTTATTTTCACCTTCTTTCTTTTTCAGAAAGTGTACGCGACGTTTCTTTACGGGCGGAGGAATATTTTCTTCGTTACATACAGAAATTAGGTGCTTTATCACTTCTCTTTTGGAAGCTGTGATTTTAATGTCGCTTTCATTTGTTTGTCTGTACAAAATATATGCGTTCACCATAGATGTTGTTAGTAACAATTCAAACCCTACTTTTCTGTACCATTTTATGGATCGGCGAAGAGGATTAGAATAAGATCCCATTTGATCGGATAGATCCACAGAACCTTTGCCACGATTACAGTCTAACACAACAGACGGTACTTGCTGAATATTTTGGTTTCTTCTCTTTTCGATGAGCGTATCATCATGTTTTGTTGATATCATAAGTACTTCTCTTTGATCTTTCCATTTTATAATCGTGATTCCTTCGGGGTTTTCCATAGCACATATCTCTCCCTTTTTTAATTTTTTATTGACAACTTCTTTAGGAATAAATCTACGATTTTTTTTTATTGTGCCAATAAAGTGGGTATTGGAAGATAACATTTTGTTGGCTAAAGGTAAACTTGAATACCAGTTATCCGTAACCAATGTCCTTCCAACTTTTAAAAGATCTTCTGTTAGATACGAAACAATAGATTCTGGAGTTACTGATACGTTATTCTCCTTTCCCGCATATATTTTTATGTTGTAAGTATAACCTAATCGAGAACAAAGCTTAAACAGTTTAACTCCATATTTGTGTCTCTTTGATTTTATATATTGTCTAATCGATAGCCTACCTCTGTAAGGCAACATAGTTTCATCAACACACATATACTCCTCAGGGGTATATAGACTTTTATAATTCTTTACAAGCAGCATATTTAATATAGGCCTAATTTTATAAAGTTTGTCTTCGAGATTGGCTTGATTGTTATCGCAGAAATGTATTGTTCGTAATAATATTTCAAATCTATTGCGACTCATTACTGAAGAAGCAAAATTCATTTTATATATAGGATCAGTGGACCAATAGTCTGGAAGAGACGGCATTTTGACTAATCCCATCCACGCTATAATACCCAAAAATTGCCTAATCTCTCATTTATTTGTGGGTGTCCAGTTGTGTAAACGAGAATTTTCACTTGTATCAGTTTCTACTAACAAACAGCTAGCATAATGGTTAGTTTGGTCAACAATATAGAATATTATATCATTGTCGACAATAGCATCAAAGAAATGGCCTGGAGTTTCACGAATTAGAGTAGCTGCTATTTCTGGCTTAATTCCTGAAGTTAGTGAAAAATTAGGAACATCTTTATACTGTCTGCTAATTGGTCCCCATGAATTATCATCATTTATAGTTATTTGTCTCTGAAGAGTTTCAGTATCCATCTCATTCCTCACAGTTACATTAGGTGACAAATTTTCTGAATTCTCAACATCAGAATTACTATGTAAACTGTTTTCTTCATTTTCTAGACCTCTTATATTATTAGAAGTGAGTTTTGAATTATTGTATGTATTTTCGGTTTCAGAATCTTCAGAAAATGAAGGAAGGTATTCGTCACTATCAGATGCCTCAAATGGCTCTATATAGGATTCGTCTGAATCTGAATCCCCAAAATTTTGAGCAAGTCCTTCTATTTCACTTAGGCTTAATATATTTCGTTTTCTGGACATCTACGAATACAAAATAATTATTTTAAAACGATATCTTTGTTTTATTTAAAAAAATTACCTTGGAAAACAGATTATCACACTTTCTTTTTCACAGTAATTGCAATACCTGCATACACTTACACAAACAAACTAAAAAGTGAGGTTATATATTCAAGATGTCAAGGGACCAGCGGCGCCGATAGCGAAATTTTAAACAAAATTTGCTCAATAGGTCCGCGCTGGTCCCATGGGACCAGCAAACAAAATGTAAAAAATCCTAAGACATGTCAAATATTTGATTAAGACAGACATCAAGGGAGTTGTTATTATTATAAATAAACAAACTTTCTTCATTGGCCCTAGACAAAAAAAATAATTTATGGCTTGGCAGTCAACTAGTTAAAAAAATTTAAAAATTAAATAGGTGCCAAGCTGAAAACAAACAACAAAATTGAGCAGGCCAGCTCCAGGAAAACCAAAGTCACAGGCAGTCCAACTTTTCCATCTGAAAAGAGGAAGAAAAACCGTCCTGGCCACGAAATCAGCAATCGCTGGAAAAGACATGATCAACTCCGCTGCAAAGAAGATTAAAGGCGAAGCTGACTAGGTAACTTTAGACCAACTGTTGCCAATAATACTCTTAAAGAGAGGAGGAACATTTCTATTGAGATAAATTTGAGTGTTACCACATGTGAAATTTGGTTTATTAAACTCTCTGTGTACCTCAAGGTCTTAAAGAAGATTTAGTTTAAAGTTGCAATTAAAAATATTATGAAGTACAGTAACATTTTCAGAAAGAGTGAAGTTATGATTGTTGAATTTAATATGGTGTCCAAAAGTGGACTTATCTAGATATCTAATGTGTTCACCAGCTCGTATGTTGAGTCTTCTCTGAGTTTTTCCTACGTATTACAATCGTTACAGCTTTCTCTATAGATACCACTTTTGTGTAGCAACTCAATTTCATCCTTAGTATGTGATAGCTTGCTTTTAATCGAATTAACCTTAAAAAAAGTTTTAATATTGTTGTAATCCTTAAAAACTGCAGCAACATCATTGAAAATTTTCCCAAGATATGGTAGTGAAATGTATTTACATTTAGCAGGAGGTTTATTAGTAGGATTAAAAGCAAGTTGGGACCTTTTCTTGAGTTTGACATTATTGATAACCACATTAATAATGGAAGTATTGTAGTTATTATTAAAAGCTAATTGTTTTAAAACGTTGATTTCTTTATTGAAATTATGATTAGTTAAAGGTATATTAAGACGATGAACATTACAGTATATAGCTGATAACTTGTGTTGATAAGAGTGATTAGAGTGGAAATTAATTGGTTTCCTGTAGATATCAAATTCAAGTCTATTATCCAGACGACTGATAGAAAGGTCTAGGAAATTAAGTGATTTATTGACTTCAACATCAACTGTGAATTTGATTTTAGGATGGATATTGTTAATGAAAAATAAAAAGTCGCCAATCTCAGTAAAATTACAATTTATAATTGCAAAAATGTCATTAACATATCTGTACCAGTGTGATATTCGGTTAAGAGGAAAATCATTCAAAATCGGTGAAATAGCAAGTGAATTCTTAATTGAATGCCATCTCGTTCCGCCGTCGATAACAGAAACCTCACCATCGCAACTCGCGCACGCAGAGTATTTGGACGATTTGTTCTCGATTGCGACAAGCTGGATACAGGGTATATCCACGAAGTTAAAATTAAATAAAAATTGAAATTTATACCCAGAATTAGTTAAAAAAATATTAATAAAAATTGACTTCATTACAAAAGAGAGGGTTGCGTACAGAGATATTCTATGAAATGGGTGAGGTACCTCTCAACTTAGACCGAATTATTAGAAATAAAACACAATTATATTTTTTCGTAAATATAATATATGTCATGCTCCGTAAACACTAGTATCATAACCTGTCAATTGATTAACCATTCATCTAATGGCTAGATTTTGAAGTTGGTTTCATGTTAATGTTAAAACATACTTCATCTAGCTCTTATAATAGTCAAACGGGTACCTCACCTTCTAACGGCCTCTGGTGGATTTTTTTGGAACTACGTTGTGTTTGGGTCATATCGTCTTTTGTATTTAAAAGGGATTTGAGGGAAGTTTAAATATCTATAATCATTTATCGTAGTCTCCACTTATTAGAATTTTGACAGGTCGTTGGAATTAATTATACACGTCAAACAGAAGCTTACTAGATTTTGCTTTGAGTGTACTAGAGTACCAGATTCTCATAGAATGTTCTAGATCTAGTACAACTGTACTAGACTGGTTATGCCGATGGGACCATGAAGAAGAAGCCAAGCTGGAATTGGTTCTTTAAAATACAGTGGCGTGTGTAACATCAGAGGTCCATAAGGACGTGGTTCGTAGTATAATAATGATCAATTCTACTTATTTTAAAACAACTACGGTACAGAACACTTTGCGAAAGTACGATTTGCATTTCGCCAATTTTTTTGTACATTTAGTGAAACCTGATTCCGTTGAAATTGTTTTTTCTTTATTAGTTTTATAAACTAGATACCTAGGTAAGTTAACTAGCAACTAATTATAAATATTTATTTAGTTTGTTTTTATCATTTTTATAATATCTAATATGCTTTACCATATAGAAAAATTATTATTACTAAATATTAGACAAACGCAGTCTTATCAAATCAAACATTTTTTTTAAGGAAAGTTTATTTTTTTAAATTTTCTTATTTACATATTTAAAATCCTGGTTGAAAGTAATTCCATGTTGGTTCATCTTCAAATGTGTGAACAATGTGTTGTTCTTTGACAAAAAGTGGTGTTGGTACCCTAACATGAACTGGCGTTTTTACTTCGACTGGAACTGGCACAGGAACAGATACTGCTACATGATGCTTTTCCTAAAAATAATAAAAATTAATACTCTAAATTTAATCAATAAATTAAATTAGAAAGTAATGAAAACATTTTCATATTAGTTAATAACATTTTATCTAAAAGTTTTACATTTTTAACTAACACTTTTGCCTGATCAGGCGTTTATTAAAAGATTAATTTAAGACTCAATATTCGTATAAAATGTAATGTCTTTTTTTAGCTGCTGCTGGGAGTGACATGCTTGATATTATTTATGACAATAAAAATATGTCCATAGTTGCAATTATTTTATTTCCTATTAATATACTTGGTGATGTTCATCAGATGTCCATAAATTGTCCAAAAGCAATACAAAAAGGGTCCATATATGGACCTTTCATAGAGTCCAAATGGGCGTCCAAGAGTGGGACCTTTGTATAGCCAATGGATGTCCATTGGATGTCCTTCGGTAAAACGCTGGACGTCCTTTGGATAGCCGATATGTCCATCAATGGACTTCCGATGGACATCAAATGGATTGACTTGTGCTGTCTGGGATCCTGTTTTCAGTTTATTATTAAATTTCTTCTCACTTTGGGGTTCAAAAATATTTTTAATTATTACGTAAAGGTAATTCTAAAGAATTTATTTAGTATCTAAATTTATTTACCTTGACAAAAACGGGCTTTTCTACTTCTACAGGTACGGTCCTGGTTACATGGACAGCATAGGGCTTTGGAACCTCTACAGGTACAGGTTCTTTGACATGGACGGGAACTAGATGAGGAACGCTAACAGGTACTGCCTTTGGAACTTCGACAGGGACTTTCACTGGTATTGGAACAGCATATGGTTTAGGTACTTCAACAGCATAAGGCTGCGGTATGGGTACATTCTTGGTAATAGTTACGTGAACTGGTTGAGGTACAGCATATGGTACTACTTGATTGATAGTGCGCACTTCATGGGTAGAAATGGCGGATCCAAAGTTTGTAACTACAAAATATTAATTAGTCTATACATAGATTACAGTCGCTTTTATGGTAAAAATATAATGTCAGTATGTCTAAAAGTGTAAAAAATTTAAAATATATTTTTTTAGGTACGGTTATTTTATTTCGTTGTCTTTTTTGATTTGTAAGTAATACCTATTCAGTACACATTATTTCAGAATCGTTTCAGAATTATTTCAAACGTTTCGAACATATAACATTTCAAGCACAAGTTTCTAAACTATTTTAGTTAAATATGCCATTGAAAATGTTTCTAAAACATATTATAAATGTTACAAAAAGCCAAGAATTAATGAAACATTTCTAATTTGTAAGAAGAAGATATGGATTATGTAGTAGTCATTTATTCCAGAGACAACCCTATATTCTAAATAATTGGATGTTTGCGTTTGTTGTCGGTTTTTGCCATTTGCTTTTTTTGTTTGTGCGTTGTGCAGTTGTATGGGATTTAGAATATATATTTCTAGAAATTGAGGTAACTTTTCTACAGAAGTATAAGGCTTATAAGTGGATTAAATTATGGTACTTTACTTTATTTCATTTACTGTGATGAGTGACGCTATTTCGTTTATCAAATTTCCAGGCAGTTAGTGTAATTTTTATCTAAATATAACCTACATTTATTATCCCTCCCCTAGCTTAATTTTTAAGTCCTACAGCTCTGATTGAAAAGCATTATGTTTTATTAAGGCATGAGTTTTTCCTTTTATTATAGTTAATTTAAAAAAAAATTCATTAATAATTTGTTTCTTCAAATCCTTTTTAAAGTACCTACAGTTTGTTTTAGGTTAGTGCAATTATAGAAATGAAGCGATTTGCCTTTTTATTTTATGAATTAATATTTTCTATATTTTAAATAAACATGTATATTTTTAAATGTCTTTTTAATTCCAATAAAAATATTATAATGTAAGATTGCATTAATATTGAATTGATTTTTCAGAAATAATTTAACATTTCATATTATTAATGAAACAGAACTAGAGAACATTTATAAAATATTACTATGTAATATATCTGAAAGATGTCAAATTTTTCTTTCCGAAATATTACCGTGAAATATTAAATTAACAGGACATTTTAACATTTCAGGCACATTTTAGAAATGTTTCTGGGACATTTCTTAATGTTTATACAACATTACAAATATTTTAATGTAACATTTTTAAAATATTTCCGAAATATGTTTGTGTTATATGAGTCCGTTCGATGTTACCTTTTTTTGTCAGCACGATCTATCAAAATCAACTTAAAATTTTTAGGAAAAATCATGCTTTCTAAGAGGACGAAGCCAATTGTTTTTGAAAGGGGGGAATTAAGTGGAGGTTGAAATTTTACAAAATTTAACAAAACAAATATCAACTTAAAATTTTCAGGAAAAGTAAAGCTCTATGAGGGGGCAAAACCTATTTATTTTGAAAAATCTGATTAAAAATTGGGAGGGGGATTAAGGAGGGGTTGAAATTTAACAAAAAAATCAAATCAAAAACGAGAAACAATATAAACTTAAAATTATCCGGAAAAATCAAGCTCTATGAGGGGACGAAGCCTAGAAAAAAAAATGGAGGTTAAGTGGGGTTAAAATATTAAAAAAATATCCTAACTCAAAAACTTGTATTGTCTAAATTGTCAAGGAGATGGGAATGACGTATTAAAGTTAGGGATAAAAATTGACTTGTTAGAATTTTACAAAATAGCTGAAATATTAAGGAGAACTCGTTTGTAATAAATTGGAGATTTATAGATTCTGCATTCATTACTTTTAATCCCTTTGAAATAGCTCGTCAAGTAAAGCTGTAAACTTGGGGTCCTCAAAAAGTTGTTTTAAATTACTCATATCTTAATACACTTAAATTTTAATAAATTCTGCCCCAAAATCAACGTAAAAAGCACTCCCTCCTTTAACAAATATAAATATATAACTTACCAGTTGGACTGTACAGAAGGTGTGAAATTTCTCTCTTTGGTTTGTCACTCTTTTTATTGTCCAAAACTTCTTTGGCTACCGTTAAGGTGACAAGGGCAAAGAACTGAAATAAAATTAAAATAATTAGAATTATATTTGTTCACAATTCGGATTATCCAGCTTCAAGCAAGGACCCCTAGGTCTCAAACTTAAGGAGTATTGTGCGATTTTGCTAATACTACAATCAAGTTCGGCTTGTGGTAATTTAAAATGGGTTTTCACTTTTTCCAATAATTTTATCATATGTAAGTTCGGATCAAAACTTTGTACAAGAGTCAATATCGCTGTTTCTTTTATTATTTGAGTTTGTATTAAGTGTATTTATTATTATCAATATCATACAGTTTTCAAGCACTACAACTATTAATAAATGAATATTTTAGTTAGTCTAATATTTTTTTGTTGTTAATACGTTGAAAACCATCTATAAACATTATTAGTTAGTAAACTGACTTTTCTTCATAATTTGAGATTCTTTTTAAATATATATCAGGTTATGTAGGAAGTTTGACATTGATTTTTGTGTAAAAAATTTTATATGAAACTTTACCTACCATTTTTTAGTTTTTATTGTAAGTTTATGCGAAACGTCAATGTGAAGTTTGTCAAAAAGGTTAAGAAAAATGGACAAAAATCGTTTTGGTTATTAAAATATACATTTTAAATACAAAATCGACTTCATCTATGGAAACGAAGCTAATAATGTTGTTTATAAAATGTCTGTTTATATTGTTAAATAATCGTTTTAAATACCACGCGAGATGATAAATTTTTTAAGAACATTTTGTTGTTTCCTTGCAAATTATGCAAATTTCGCTTTACAAAATCCTCTCAAAATACCACTCGACTAACGTCTCGTGGTATTTTAAGAAGAATTTTGTTTCGTGAAATTTAGACGCATAATTTCCGAAGAAACAACAAAATGTTCTTAAAATATTTTCACCTCTTGTGGTATTACCCTTGGTCATTTTTTTTTTGGAGTAACAAAAGTAACAATTCTCAAAATTTTATTTTATAGTGGTCGATTGTCTACTTTATGGAATATATCTTTTATTTAAACTTTAAGAAAATTCTTTAATTGAAAGTTGTTTGTGATATCGTTCTCTATAATTTTTTATATAATTATTTCTCTAAAATGGACCGTAATGGAAAAATTTGAGGAAAAGTTTAAAATTTTAATTTTTCGGTATTTTTGTTGGCAATGAATGTATATAAAAATGTTTTGAGTAAGGGGTGTGTGGAAAATTTATGTATTTAGTTTTTCTTTTAAACAATTACAGGGGTGATACAATAGGTTGTACAAAATAACCGGAAAATGCTAGCAATAGCCAGACAGGACAGAATACAATTTAAGAAACCAATAATAAAAAAATAGGGTTAATTTTGATTTTCTATTAAAATCGTCCCCTTTGTGTAATATTTAAATTGATAATAAAATAAAATTTGTCACCCTAAAAACATTATCCTACAAAATTTTACCTCATAAAACAATTAATAACCAAAATATAGCAAATAAATATGTTTTAATTTTTATAACATTTAAAGTCAGTATTATTTTATAAAATATTTATATTTTGAAGACTTAAATCAATGGTTCAAAGAAATACAGTATGGTTCAAATGAAAGGAATAAATTCATTATAATGGAAGTAGTTGGTTTTTCGAAAAAATGCTCGGACAGGTCAATTTTGTTTACTCAAAGCGCAATTTTTTAAATAGAATTAAATTTTCCCCCACTTCCCATTTTTGGGCAGTGACGTCATTGACAATTTTTTTAAATAGTAACCCCAATTTTTTTCTCTTGATTTTGTTAGATCTTGCAATTTCCTACTCGGAAACATAATATTTGAAATGTCTTACCTAACAATTTTTTTTGAATAAAAGTCATTTAAAGATCAGACACATAAATTTTATTTTATTTTGAGAACACAATAAATGAATAAAAGATAATTATTTGTAATTAAGTGCTTAATCTAACAAAATAATAATAATAATAATATTATTAATAATAATAATAATAATAATAATAATAATAAAGAATTTGTGAAATCGTCATTAAATTCTTTTTTTTTTATTATTATTATTATTATTTTTTTAGATGAAGCACTTAATTACAAATAATCTTTTATTCATTTATTGTGTTTCAAAATAAAATAAAATTTATGTATCTGATCTTTAAATGATTTTTTTTTCAAAAAAAATTGTTAATTCAGATATTACAAATATTATGTTTCCGAGTAGGAAATTGCAAGATCTTAATATTAATATTAAGGTATCAAACTTTCAGGGAATTTTTTTTGGGGCATTTTTAACAAAATTTCAGAACGGGAGCGAAAATAAAAAAAATAGTCAAAAAAAATCACCCTAATATTGTATAAACAATTAAAAATTAGATTACTGTTCATTTAAAATTTTCCAAAAATCAATAGGAGACCCATTAAAAAAATTGAAAGTCGGCTTAATCTCGCCTAACTTCAAAAAATTAATGCACGTATATTTTTATTAATATCAAAAAAATAAAAGAATAGCAGACTTTTATTATATATTCCTAATATCCTTTTAAAATTTCAATTAATTTGATGCGTTATAATGACCAAAATTACATGTCAAAAAAGTTTAATAGATGCTTATTTTGCAGCTTCTAATAATTCTGATTGAATAAAAGGAAACTTTTCAAAGAACTATATTAGCAAATTTTTTTTTATTAGAGAACTAATATCAGCGCTTAGGGTAAGATTTAAATTTTGCGCCCTCCAAACGTACTTTGTAGAAAGAGATACAATACAATAACTTTAAAGTTCTTTTTAACTTATACATTTGAATATTATATATAAAATTAGCTCTTACTTATTTTGTAGAAAGAGAAAAAATACAACTTTAAAGTTATGTAGTATCTTTTTGTAGAGACCCTTTACTTATTAAGTTCCTCAATATTATTACACCGATGTTTTTCCGTAAAAAAATGCATTATACTCATGAAAAAACTGATTATTTTTCCTTGAATAATAAATATCTATT